AGCAGCTCCTGAACCATCACCATGGAGCTGGAAGATGTGACCCAAGTAATGAAAATCCAACTGTTTGGGTCTGGGGCTCAATGCTCCCCCTGAGGCAGCATCCACCTGCCCAGACACACACATCTCCTGCCAGGGGACAATTGACCTGAAGCTCACAATTAACAAAGGCTCACCCTCACTTTTTCTTGCTTGACAAACCAAGTGCTTGGTCTGAAGTGATCCAAGGTGCAGATATGAAACCTGGGATGTTTCTAAGGCTGCAGCTTGTGCTATACACGACAGCTTCCCCCCAGCAATCCCATCTCCCTGCAGCTTGCGCACACTCACTGGAATGGAGATAAATTAATCTGAAAACCCATACCTTGCTCACTTCATTTAGATATTATCCATGCAGGTTGTGGGTCCACACTCTGCTGAAGAGTTAACTGAATATTTATCCCTGTATTCCTGGGGAAAGGACCTCCATTTGTGGCTTTCCTACTCCGATTTGGCAACATCTTGCTTTTTGGCCAAGCTTTCAACAAGCTGCAATAGGACTCACCAAGCAGACTGTTGCTAGTGTTATCCAAGATGTAACTCTTGACATGGATAAGGGAACAACTGACTGCTGTTGAGATCCTACAGCAAAGAAAAACCTGGCAGCAGAACCTCCTGGTTAGGTAGCAGTGAGCTTGTTCTCATAGAACCATAGAATCCCAGAGAGGTTTGTTTTGGAAGGGAACTTAAGGCTCATCCAGCACCAGCCCCTGCCACGGGCAGGGACCCCTTCCACTAGAGCAGCTTGCTCCAAGCCCCTGTGTCCAACCTGGCCTTGAACACTGCCAGGGATGGGGCAGCCACAGCTTCTCTGGGCACCCTGTGCCAGCACCTCAGCACCCTCACAGGGAAGAGCTTCTGCCTAAGAGCTCATCTCAGTCTCCCCTCAGGCAGTCCAAAGCCATCATGGTGGATGTCATCCTCAAGATTTCAGTACAGGCACAAGGGGAAGGTGCCAGATATATAAAGTTATAACGCACTGGTTAGCTGTTCTTTCGAGAGTCATACAGCACAAACTATCAAATGAGTAAAGAAAAGGATCGTTTAAAATAGGAAGCAAAAGAGCCCCATGCTCACAGCACCAGCATCCCTCTGATTCCTCAAGGGGATGGTTTCTGCTGCCCTGATATAAAGCAGAGGTGTTAAGGTTTGCTACAAGGCCTGTGGATCCTGTGGATGCCACAGGACAAAGCAGGGTTTTCATATCAGGGATTTCTTCCTCTTTGCTCTCAGATCCACTTGAAATGGGTTTTAATACTCCCAGCTTCTCCAGGCTCCAGCTAGAAGGGTAATGCTGCTCTGTCTTCTCCCATGCAGCATCTACCCGTCCTTCCAGAGCCTTGTCCTTTGTGGTATTCACAGAGCCAGGGGTGAAACAAGTCAGGGGATTACACATTAACTGGCAGGGAGCTGTCAGACCAGGCAAGGGTCAGCCCAAAGGGCTCCCAAGAGCCAGGTCAGGATACACCCAACAGGTTTTTAAAATTAATGGCACTAGAAGGTCTTATTTGAAAAATACAAGCCCAAAATCGTTGCCTTTAAGAGTTTTTATCCAGCCTTCAAAACATCCCCAAAGGTAGTTTTTTTAGTACATAGCAGTATGTACTGTCTCATATTCGTATTCAAAACAAGATTACCTCTTGGGAAGCACTCTTAGATGTGTTCAACCCTCAGTGTAGGGAAAATACAGCTCTCCTTTATCTCAGTTTATGCTGCTACTTAGAATGAAAATATAAAAGCACAACTTCCTTTTCATTTTGAAGCAGCTGCCTTTACTTTTCAATCAGAAATGCTTTCGTTACTGTGCAACCAAATATGAGAGGGGGCTGCAGGGCCTTCCAGGAAAGGACAGAAATCACCTCTTTACTCCCCAAAAGCCCTAGTAGGGAATGACCCTGGTTATTCCTGCCTAGCTCTTACTGTTCTGTAACAAAAGGTGGGTTTCCTACCCCATGCAGGTTACCAGGATGGATCTACCAGTAGCCCAGGAACTTGGTTACTGTATAGGCATCCTCACCCATTCAATTCAGCACCAGAGAGCACCTAAATAAGCCCAGCTGCTCCCCTGGGATTATTTAGGTGCTGATGGGTGTGATTTACGTATATCAACAACAAGGAATTAAATCCTTCACCTCCATGGGATAAAGGTTGAGACCTTACCTGATTTGAGATCTGATGTTTTTTTTTGTTTGCTTTCATTATAAAATCTGGAATGGCTTTGTCAGGAGTAAAGATGTGCAATGGGGATACTTTCTGAGAGGGATCTGTGAATCTAGAGGAAACAACTGATGGAGAAAGGAATCATTTAAAACACCATGAATTAGCACTTCAAATTGTGTATGGATAGCACAGAATATTTAAGAGAAAAACCATTTAAAAGGCAGAGTGATTTTGATATCCTCAGCAACAGAAGGACATGGATAAAGTGCAGAGGAGGCCATGAGGATGATCAGGGGCTGAAGCAGCTCCTGTATGGAGCCAGGCTGAGAACATTGGGGCTGTTCAGCCTGGAGAAAAGAAGCTGTGTGGAGACCTCAGAGCAGCTTCCAGTGTCTGAAGGGGGCTACAAGGATGCTGGAGAGGGACTCTTCATCAGGGACTGGAGTGACAGGACAAGGAGTGATGGGTTCAAACTGAAACAGGGGGAGTTCAGGTTGGATGTAAAGCAGAAGCTGTTCCCTGTGAGGGTGCTGAGGCACTGGCACAGGGTGCCCAGAGAAGCTGTGGCTGCCCCATGCCTGGCAATGTTCTAGGTCAGGTTGGGCACAGGGTCTTGGATGACATGGTCTAGTGTGCGGCGTCCCTGACCATGGCAGGGGGTTGGAACCAAGTTCCTTTCCAACCCAAACCACTCTATGATTCTACAATAATCTACATTTCATAAAACCTGAAGCCTCAGCCAAGAACTGCACTAGGAAAAGTGGGGTTTAAAGCATCATTTCTAAATGTGAGAGGACTTTGAAGCTGTTAAACTATCTGACATTGCCTTAACATGGTCAGGAAATAAACTGTCTACATAGGATCAGCCAACTGTAGAGGCAACATGATAGCCTTAGTTTATTTATCTATAATTTCTCAGTTTCCTGGGCAAGAACAAGCCACTTGGCTTGTAAGACAAGCACGTAAGAAAAAAATCACTCCCAGCACGTAAGAAAAAAGATTTTATCTAAAATAAAAAGGAGTGGATATTCCCAGCAACGTCCAATAGATAATGGTGTTGTATAAGAAATCCTGATCCATGATTTTCTAGACAGTTATTTCAAATCTTTGGCCTTCTGATACCTAGAGGGACACCTGTGACCATTTTGCACCTCTTGGAGGTGACCACAGAGAGTAATGGTATCAAGAAGTAAAAAAAATCACAGAGGAAAAGGAATGGATTTTGTTCAGAAGTAGATGAATACAGCTTTGAAGGGGAAATGGGCATCTAAAGAGCAGGCATATGTGGATACTGTCATGTCCTGCTGGCAATAGTAAGAGTCAGCGTCAGGCTGGTAACTTTAGTAAACAGTAAGAACAAAGAATAAGAGTAAAGAATAAGAATATATATATAATATATATAATAAATATATCTATAATAAAAAATAAAATGCAAACGATAAAGAATAAAGTATAAATAAAGAAAAAAGTTTAAAAAAAGAATAAAGATCTTAGTGCTGGCCAGGGTCACATCCCTGTTTGGGTTATTTTCCCCTGGATTAAAGAGTGTTTTTCCCACTGGAGATGCCTCAGCTCAAGTGACCACAGGTGGAAAATCTCCATCCAGGACTCAGCCAAGCCTTCTCCTTCCTAAAAACCCATCAGCTCCAAATCCATTCCCAGAGGAGCTTGTTAACACAGTTGGATCAGGGACATCTCTCACCTTTGAGTGATGAGCTGCTAAAGAAATAGGGAAGTTTTGGGTGTGTGGGGAAACCCGGTGGTGACTGTTTCCCCTGGTGGCATTGCGATTTTATAGCAACCAGGATATGGGGGGGGGGGGGCTGCAATTTGTGCCAGGAACGACTTCTTGAATAGGAAATAAGGACTTTGGGTTGGGTTTCTTCATTACCTTTGATTTCCCTGTTGTTTCAGGGTGTTGGTGTGTTTCCATGTTTGCTTTGGGTTTCTTTAATCCCCATTGCCTCAAACCAAAGTGCAACTCTCCTGCAGCAAGCTCTACTGATAACATTCTTGCCTTTGTTTTTAACAAACTACTGTGGGTATAAATTAGAAAACTCCTTAGAGCTTGTCTTAAAGGCGTTGAGAAAGGCGGAACTTGAGGAAAACTGAAAGGGTGAAGGTCTACAGCTGCCTGAAAAGAGGCGGCAAAGCCCAATTTGACTGTGATTTAACTCAGCAGCCTGGTTCCAAACACAAACCCGATGAAGAATTTGCATTTCACTCACTTGACTCATGCACGATATCCCATTGCTCCACAACTGCATTAAAACATCAGTTCATCCATTTAGATCTTGGGTTTCCATCCGTCCTGGGAAAAGCTTTTCATAGGAGCTGCCTCCCCTACCCAGCCCATAAATCACTGAGACCCCAACTAAACTGAGGCAAGAAAAATCAGTATCGTGTGTGTTGGTGTTGACATTTAACACAAGAATATATTGTGTTATATATAAATATATAGGTTAGGATGCATTTAATATTGTGTTTTGATATATATACACACATACATACGTGTTTATGTGTATAATTTGCAAGTCATAGGAACAGAGACCTCCTAGATGTCCTTTCTGAGCAATAACTATGTCCTGCTGGTCATAGTCACATCAGTGACTAGTCATGGTCACATCAGGTTGCTCCTGGCCTCATTCAGGCAGCTTCTGAACATGTCCATGGGTGGAGGCTCCACAGCCTCTGGAACAAAGCCTCATGTTACCCACATCCCTGGATCAGGGTTTTCAAAGCCTGACTATGATTCTTTCTGCAGTTCTCCACAGAGCATCCTTCATCTCTTTGTTCCTCAAGCTCTAGATGAGGGGATTGAGCATGGGGATCACCACTGTGTAGAAAACAGAGACCACTTTGTCAGTGTTCAGGGAGTAACTAGAGCTAGGGCGTAAATACATGAAAATGGTTGTTCCATACAAGAGGGTCACCACAATCAGGTGGGACATGCAGGTGGAAAAGGCTTTTTTCCTGCCCTCAGCATTACGGACCCTCAGGATGGCAAAGAAGATGAAGACGTAGGAGACCAGAATGGCAGAGATGGTGCTGAGCTCAATGACACCAGCCAAGGAGAAGAGGATCATCTCATTGATGTACGTGCTGGCACAGGACAGAGCCAGGAGAGGAGGAACATCACAGAAGAAGTGGTTGATGACATTGGAGCTGCAGAAGGGCAGCCTGATGATGAAGGTCATCTGAATTGTTATAAATTGGGACCACAACGGATCATAATCCAATTGAAATTTTATTAATTATAGCAAGTAGAATATGAGCAAAGACAGCGCTGGACGACAGGGGAGTCTGCGCTCCGACAACTGCCGTACTGAACAGTTCTAACAGTCCCTTTTTATCAGTCCTCCAGTTCCGCATTCGTATCTTCAACGGAGTACTCTGCGCATGCCCCAGTTGCTTGAGGCTGAAGGCTTGAAGTCCTCCTCGGTTACCTTTAGATATCCTTTTCCATATATGGTCTTCAACTTGCTGTGCAATAATTTTTAGAATTGTTTTGCAAAAGCCCTTAGTAAGCGTCTTGCGGTTTGTAAGTAATTTTGGTGTCAACTTATGCAAGTAAAGCACTTAAGCAAAGCAATAGTTGCCCCCACCCATATGTCTGCCAGTTTTTTTAGAACATCTTGCAGATACTTCCTCAAAACTTGCAGATATTTCCTCAAAACTTGCGCAAGCGGTGTCTGGTTTAATCTGCACAAGCGACCACGGTTATCTTTTCTTTTGTTGTCTAATCTTTACATCAGGCTTAGCATAAATCTTAATAAACAATACCATAGTCCCTAGTTTTTCACAGGGAGCACAAAGGGGGGCTCCACAGTGGGGACCCAGACGCCGTCCCATAGCTTAGGGGGCACGAAGGGGGCGCCTGATAACATGGGGGGGGCACAAAGGGGGACCCCTAGAGCCCGCCCCATACCTTAGGGGGCACAAAGGGGGGCTCCATAGGGGGGACCCAGACCCCGCTTCATAACTTGGGGGGGACAAAGGGGGCACCCCATAACTTGGGGGGCTCCATAGGGGACTTCCAGAGCCTGCCCCATACCTTGGGGGCCACAAAGGGGGCGCCCCATAACTTGAGGGAGGGCACAAACGGGGACCCTCAGACTCCGCCTCATGACTTGGGGGGCACAAAGGGGGCGCCCCATAACTTGGGGGTCCCAATGCCCGCCCCCCAACACCCCATAGCGCGGGTCCTGGCCGCCCGCTTGGGAGCGCTGTTGCACCGGGCCCCGGTGCTGCTACGGGAGCGGCGCCGCTCGGTGCTGGGGGCGCTGCTCCGTGCGGGGGGCACCGGGGCTTTTCCCCCGGCTCTCGCCGCTGCTCCGGGGGCACCGGGACCCGAACCCGTGAGCTCGGGACCCGAACCCGGGAGCTCGGGGCTCGAACCCGGGGTCCCTGGAGCCTCAATGGGAGCCGCAACCGGATGCGCGGCGGGACCGGGGCATCCCCAGCCCCATCTTTGGATCCAGTGCGGAGAAGTGGGAAGTGAGTTGGGAATGGGGGTAACGGGTGGCAATGGGGGACAATGGCATAATGGGGGGTAATGGGGTAACAGGGGCGATGGGGGGGAGTGGGGGCAATGGGAGTAATGGGGGGCATTGGGGGTAATGGGCAATGGGTGTAATGGGGATAATGGGGGGCAAAGGGGGTAATGGGGGCCAATAGGGTCAATGGAGACAATGAGGGGCAATGGTGGGCAATGGTGCCTCTCTCCCCCCCCACCCCAGCGCCCCCCGTCTGGGAGCCCAGTTCTGCTCTTCCAGCCCCATGGAATTCCGTGTCCGCGCTCCCCCCTACAACCGGATGCGGACCTGGATCCATGTCCATGTGTGGAGCATCCGGATCTGGATCCGGATCCCATAGGATCTGCTCCCAAGCACCAGGACCTGTGATGCCAATGGGATCCCGTGCTCCCAGATGATCCAAGGCTCTGGAATGAGGCAGAGCTGCAGCAGGAGCCGGTGTTTCGGGGTTGGCTTGGGCTGTTTTAGGGGTGGTTTGGGTTTTTTGGTGTCATTTTTTCCTCTTTTTGGCCTGTTTGGGGGCTCTGAGCCTGCATCCCACAGGAGAAGCAGGACAAGGTGTTTTTTTGGTGGGTTTTGGGTGTTTTGGGGTTGTTTTGGGGGTGCTTTTGAAAAGTTTTTGGTTGTTTTCGTACTTTCTTGAGCCTGTTTTGGGGTTCTGAACTTGTGACCCATAGGGGAAACAGGACAAGGTGGTTTTAGGTTGGTTTTGTCCAATTTTGGGGCTCTGACCGGTGTCCCATAGGAGAAGCAGGACAAAGTGATTTTGGGGTGGTTTTGGCCCATTTTGGGGGTTGTTTGGGGTGTTTTGGCCTGCTTTTCTCCTGTTTTTGTCCTGTTTTGGGGCTCTGACCCTGTATCCCATTGGAGAAGGAGGACAAGGTGGTTTTGGGGTGGTTTTGGGGTGGTTTGCGGTTTGCTTTGGGTGTTTTGGCCCATTTTTGGCCTGTTTTGGGTCTGTTTTGAGCCTCTTGCCCTGTATCCCCTAGAAGAAGCAGGACAAGGTGGTTTTGGGTTGTTTTTGGCCTGTTTTGGGTCTTTTTGGGGGCTTTGACCCTGTATCCAATAGGAGAAGCAGGAGAAGGTGATTTTGGGGTGGTTTTAGGGTGGTTTGGCCTGGTTTTGGCCTGTTTTGGGTCTCTGACACTGTGTCCCATTGAAGAAGCAGGACAAGGTGGTTTTGGGGTGTTTTGGGTTGGTTTTGGCCTGTTTTTGGTCTTTTTGGGGGCTTTGACCCTGTATCCCATAGGAAAAGCAGGAGAAGGTGATTTGGGGGTGGTTTTGGGGTGGTTCGGCCTTGTTTTTGCCTGTTTTGGGTCTGTTTTGGGGCTCTGACCCTGTATCCCACAGGAGAAGCAGGACCAGGGGTTTTTGGGGTTGTTTTGGGTCCGTTTTGTGGCTGATTTTGCGGTTTTTGTCTTGTTTTGGGTCTGTTTTGAGGCTCTGGCCCTGTATTTATTTTCAAGAAGGGGAAAATGGATGACCCGGGGAATTACAGAGCAGTCAGTCTCACCTCTGTGCCTGGCAACATCTTGGAGCAGATTCTCCTGGAAAGCATGCTAAGGCACATGAAAGTCAACAAGGTGCTTGGTGACAGCCAGCATGGCTTCACTGAGGGGAAATCCTGCCTGACCAATGTGGTGGCCTTCTATGAAGGGGCTACAGAACTGATGGACAGGGGTAGAGCAGTTGATGGCATCTACCTGGACTTGTGCAAAGCGTTCGACACTGTCCCCCACAACATCCTTGTCTCTACATTGGAGAGACATCAATTTGATGGATGGACCACTCGGTGGATAAAGAACTGGCTGGATGGCCGCACACAAAGAGTTGTGGTCAATGGCTCAGTGTCCGGCTGGAGACCAGTAACGAGTGGTGTCCCTCAGGGATCGGGGTTGGGACCGGTCTTGTTCAACATCTTCGTCACTGCCATGGACAGTGGGATTGAGTGCGCCCTCAGCAAGTTTGCCGATGACACCAAGCTGTGTGGTTCGGTTGATACCCTGGAGGGAAGGAATGCCATCCAGAGGGACCTCGACACACTTGTGAGGTGGGCTGATGGCAACCCCATGAAGTTTAACCATGCCAAGTGCAAGGTCCTACACCTGGGTCGGAGCAGTCCCAGGCACAGCTACAGGTTGGGCAGAGAAGAGATTCAGAGCAGCCCTGCAGAGAAGGACTTGGGGGTGTTGGCTGATGAGAAAATGAACATGAGCTGGCTTCATTGTGTGCTTGCAGCCCAGAAAGCCAACAGTATCCTGGGCTGCATCCAAAGGAGCGTGACCAGCAGGGGGAAGGAGGTGATCCTGCCCCTCTGCTCTGCTCTTGTGAGACCTCACCTGGAGCATTGTGTGCAGTTCTGGTGTCCTCAACATAAAAAGGACATGGAACTGTTGGAACAAGTCCAGAGGAGTCCACGAGGATGATCAGGGGGCTGGAGCACCTCCCGCATGAAGACAGGCTGAGAAAGTTGGGGCTGTTCAGCCTGGAGAAGAGAAGGCTGCGTGGAGACCTCAGAGCAGCTTCCAGTATTTGAAGGGGGCCTATAGGGATGCTGTGGAGGGACTCTTCATTAGGGACTGTAGTGATAGGACAAGGGCAACAGGTTAAACCTTAAAGAGGGGAAGTTTAGGTTGGATATATGGAAGAAATTCCTTCCTGTGAGGGTGGTGAGGCACTGGAATGGGTTGCCCAGGGAGGTTGTGAATGCTCCATCCCTGGCAGTGTTTAAGGCCAGGTTGGACGAGGCCTTGGGTGATATGGTTTAGTGTGAGGTGTCCCTGTCCATGGCAGGGGCTTCGGAACCTGATGATCTTAAGGTCCTTTCCAACCCTAACGATTCTATGATTCTATGAACTGAGGGTAGGACCAAAGGGTTTGATACATCTCTGGTGTCCCCAACACAGGGAGGACTTGGAGCTGCTGGAGCAAGTCCAGAGGAGGCAACGAGGATGGTCAAGGGCTGGAGCTCCTCCCATATGGAGCCAGGCTGAGAACATTGGGTCTGTTCAGCCTGGAGAAGAGAAGCTGTGTGGAGACCTCAGAGAAGCTTCCAGTGTTTGACGGGGCCTACAGGAAACCTGAAGAAGGTCTTTGGCCAAGGGCCAGTAGGGACAGGCCAAGGGGAATGGCTTTAACCTGCCCGAGGGGAGACTGAGATGAGCTCTTAGGCAGAAGCTCTTCCCTGTGAGGGTGCTGAGGCGCTGGCACAGGGTGCGCAGAGAAGCTGTGGCTGCCCCATCCGTGGCAGTGTTCAAGGCCAGGTTGGACACAGGGGCTTGGAGCAAGCTGCTCCAGTGGAAGGTGTCCATGCCTGTGGCAAGGGTTGGAACTGGATGCCCTTTAAGCTCCCTTCCTACACAAAACAGGCTGTGATTCTAAGAAATAAAGCTCTGACAGTCTGTTGGTCAACAAAGCCCTTGTGCTAAATGGGGAGAAGTCATGTCTGAGCATCTGCTCTGCTGCAAATTTAAGTAGGGGTGTAAAGGGCCTGAGTGCTGTTAGGTGGGGGGATCTGGGGTCCTCCTTCCACCTGAACAGCCAGGACCAGCACAAACCATCCACAGAGAGGATGCTTTGTTGTGCTTGTTTTCAGCTCCCTTCAATTCAATATTAGATGATCTCTGTGGATGTAAAGGGCTTCCT